CCTCGACGCAATGTTTCGATGAGATCGAACTTCTTTGACTCACTGGCCAGACTATTGCTTCCCGGAGCTTTCAAGCACTTCAGTGCATCCGATTTGAGAGAATTTAAGGTGCATCTAGGAATTGAATCGCGTGTTACTAAGGGCTCAGGTCAAAAGCGTAGATTTTAAATAGCACACGTGAAACAGAAAAATTCCAAGAAAACAGGAAAAAATGGAGCTCTTCTATAAAGCTTCTATGGTACACTTTCAGCATCACAGGTGTATTAATTATTTAATTAATTGAAATTTTGACAGAAGGTGGAGTTTCGGTAAGTCATCATTGAAGATACACATCCAAAACTGAGCATTCCAACTGCTAGTGGCTTTTTAAGTAATCTTATGATACTTGCTAGACCTTTTCGGTGCAGCGAACGTCTCTGGTCATTCTTAATCTTCCCAATAGGTGATGAACAGGTCCCTAGAGTGTATCATTGACGGTGCATTGAGTAGAGGATTAAATCAAATAAATAAATAAAATAAATAAGCGGGTAACTGAATCCTGGACGTGTCTTTTATTTTCTTCTTCTTTATTGCTCGTGTCAGTCGTCGCTATTTCCTTCTACTCACAGCATCTTCTACTGTCAACTCGATTTCAGCGAAGTCCCTCAAGATTGCGTTCAACTTCTCTTCTTTGAGGTACCTCGTTGTCATCTCCCTTAAATTTCGAAATCCACCACCTCCCGATCCTCCCTTCACGGATGATCATGTAACATTTTCGGTTCGGTTCCATACCAACGCAAGACCCACAGAGCTTCGCTGTTTTCATCTCTGCCGTGTTGACCTTGTGTATTTGCGCGTGGTAATGGGTATAGAGTAGCCCTTCTCGGTAGCATTCGGTCAGCACCGCCTAGCCACTGCAGCTATTAGAATTATGTACAAGAGAGCGGTATGGCCGATTTTTTCAGACATCATGCTTCCATTACATTACCTGCATGGAACAGGCACATCAAGCGATTCGCGAATGTGTTGGTTCTACGATACTGGCACTGGCTCTCGAGACAAATGAGAAACCGTTCGCCGAATTCCTGAAGGGACGTGAAGAAAAGGCCCAAACTTGTGAAGGTGCGAGTTTACTTTTGAAACTGTCTTCCTTGTAGTCATCACTAGCTGAAAAAAAGATGAGGTTTTTCAGAAAAGTTTCTGAGCGACAGTACAGATTTCGAAGCCCTACAGAGTCTTGTCTATGATGATTCACGAAATTGCTTTCAACATCTACCACGAAATCGTCACGGTCGTTCTGAGGTAAGGGACTGCTCAGGATTCCAATTGTTCTATAGGGAATCGGAGGAGCAGAAGGCAAAGCAGCTGTCAGAGCTTGTTCAACAGCGACTGATATCTACAGGTGACTCGCACTTGTGCATGGGACGGTGGGTCAGCAACGCTACCAGAAGAACGCCAACCGTCGGAATGTTTAGCGGCCTTCCGTGGCGAACGAAGGCGGTGTGAAGAGCTATTGCAATGTTGCCCAGATCACACCAGGTACGATCTGTTTATGGCATATTTCGGCGTGTTCAGAAAAGCTTTGTGCTGCTGTAATCGGCGACACTTTTCCCGGCCTCTGAACTGCTTTGGAAGAGAACAACAAGCACTCAACTCGGGTAACACTCGTGATACCACAGATGTTCCATACCATTAGCTCCACTCTCAAGGCTTTACCCTGACTGTTCTTACTCTTTCAGCTTTGTAGTTAATCGTCGAGCCGAACACGAATTGGGATTCTAGCTCCGCCCACATGAATGCGTACTCATTGCGAGCCAATCTATTCCTTTAGAAATGTTTTCCACATTTCATCATTCGTCTGCTTTTGGGTCTTAATGGTCACAGACCCGATCTACTGGCTGCTTTACAGAAGTTTTACTTACGCTTCGCCTGATTTAGTGCTTGGACTCATCCAATCTGGCGGGAACCATCACTAGAAGTCTTCTAAAGCATGTAGACCCTCACAAGCTCTTCAAAACCAGCTAGCGGCTCAGTGATGATTCGAATCTTAAAAATNTGTTGAATCATAGCGCTCCTTAGCCGAACACCTTCATGCTCCCCATCAAAACAACGAAATTCTGGTTTTTGCCTGTGTTGAACACGCTATCCGTAACACACCCTTATTCAGTCCCGCGCTATGAAGTAACCCAGGTTGCCTGACAAATTCATGGCGCATTCCCCCACTTACCGCAGCATATTGCATTTCTGTTTGAACTTTTTTATAGTCCCATCTGAATCACGGTCTGAATGTATACAGTCCTCGACTTAAAATTATTTTCAGATGCGGAGAACGAATGAATGCTCTTTCAATAGCATATCAACACGCAAAATCGAAATGTGAGTGAATGGTGGTAGATCTTATTAAATAGTGGTAACTCGTGATATCAAACTTTTTTGAAATCATATTAGTCATTGAATAGTTCCTTTCTCAATTATAACTCTATCTTCTATAGCTTAGTCATCACTGGGTTGCAACCGGTCTCGTTGCTGGAGGTCCACACATGCGTGGACTTCCATGGGGATGTGTCCTAAGGTTAGGTTGGAATAACACGCGAAATTGTATGAGTTCGCTCAGACCCTCCGTACTACAAAACGAGTCACGGGAGGAACGTCGTACCCAGCGTTTTCACCAAAGTTCTCGCCGGTCGGGAAAAATCCGCGCGATAACTCAACTTCGTTTATCCGGCACATTTTTCAGAGTAAATAGCGATGGGAGACTTTTACTGAGCTGGCTTGATCAGAATGAGCAAGGTCATATCACCCCTTCTCCTTCTTTTATGGTTTGGGGGTAGTTCTTCTAGAGGACAGAGCTGGATACGAAAACATTTGACTCTGACTTCGATTGCACTTAACCCTTAAGTGTGCTATCGCCTTACGATAAGATTCACCGAATTTAAATAACAGTTATTACTATTGTTCGATATTTCCCTGAAATCATCTAACCTAAAAGTTTCTTTCACAATTCAGCTAACGAGATTGTGGAGCGTCTGTTGTTGTGCCTTGGATCGTTGGAGCCGTCAACAGTACTGGAATTGGCTGGAATGAAAGTTGGTCGGCTTCAGTTTCGCGTGCCTGGACTGCCATTTTACAAGCCCGATCGGATAGTGGGTAGGGCACAAGGCATTTTTGAATACTTGCCATATTTCACAAAGACATTGGTGCCCTGAATTTATGTCCGGTATCATCTTAAGCGAATCGCAGACGATTGATCACTGAGCACAAGCCCCCCCCCCCTGGCCCATCCTAGAATCTCTAAAGCTATGCTCAGAGTCCTCAGAGAGGTCGAAAGAGTATTCAAACTCCAATACTTTATCCCTTCGCATTGAACCTAATACTTATTTGTTTGATGCTGTTCGGAATGCCACAGTTCTATGACCACAAGTACACAAGCTGTCGCTATGTAAGAGTGAAATTTCAGAAAAGCGAATATCTCGTCGTCTCAGCATGATGTCCTACTCTGCCATCGATGAGAGGAAAAGTCGTTTCATCAAGAAGTTCCAGAAAAAGAGGTCGGTCACAATCTCGGAATAAGATTAGTAGAATAAAGGATATAGCCTTTCGACGTAATCAATCCCGTCTGAGGGATGAGCCAACGCATTCGACTCCCATTCAAAATCTTAGTAACGCTGTAATGCATATGTGGCCTACGTATTATAGGTTGCCTTTACATGCATTCCGAACGAATCAACGGCTTCTTCAGGTGTCGAAAAACGTTGACCTCTCATTTTATTTTTTACGTACGGGATAAGAAGAAGTCACCCGGG